ACACATGCTCACACAGCCATATAGACAATCAGTACTACAAGTAAGTAGTGCATCCACACCTGCGCACATTCACGAATAGATGCAATTAATTTTACCATAAAATACCATTTACACACTTTAGCATTTTTAAATAAAATTTGGAATGAGTTGAAAGTTTAACTCTGGATCTTAGCACAAGGGACACCTAGGTGCTCCGCCAATGTGCCATGGACGGGTGATCTGGCTTTGAGGGCGGACCTCCCGGTAAGCAAAATACGTGTATTTTGCCCCAATACTACGCCTTCTTTTGTCTTTAGGGTTAGTCATGGGGTGCTGCCTCGATGGCAGTGGAAGGCGAACCTGGCCCTAAAGCTCAACTACTACGATTTTTGCAACTGATGAAACGCAACTAATTATAATATAAATATATATAATAAATATTAATATATAATATAAATATAAATATATATATAATATAAATATAATAATATATAAATATAAACGCAACTAATATATATATATTAATAATGTAAATATAAACGCAACTAAAGAGAGATATGTGCTGCAAATGGGAGAGTTAATGACGTCTTTTAACTGAAAAGCCGTAAATATTGTCTACACTTGGCAACTGCCCTAGTCCCCTAGTCTGCAGAAAGGCTATTAACAACTTAAGCGATACTAGCCGTAGGCTCTATAAAAGTTTTGTTGCTGAGCTGTCTAGTCTACCTAAACGCAGGCACCGATTTTGTAAGCACACGACGCCACCTCCATTCCTCTGCAAGTTGGATAATTCCGAGGCAGATATGGCTAGACAATTCTGAAGCGTAAATAACGTAGTATGGAGGAATAAAAGCAAAACACTCCCATTATGAGGCTATGTTAAATTGCATAATGTGTTGCATGAAGCCACTTTTGGGGTATTATTACCATGACCAGTTGTGGACATGCGTGATGGCCAGCACAGTCCCCCAACTCCAAATACACTTTCCATACAGGAGAAAACTCCAGATCCAGTAGTAGTTTTTAGAAGGACCGGTGGGGTTGCGATCAAGTATCTTTTCAATTGCAGTAAAGCGACACCACCGGTACAGTTGGCTCGTGGGTATTATTCTTACGCTACGGAAGACCAATTATGGGGATAGCTCCAGTTTAAGGTGACACAGAGAAGTGAGGGCATGCCTGAAGATTGTGTAGGTGCCTGCAACCCATAAAATACTTGCTTGTCAAATTTACATGTGTTTTCTTAGTAGGTCCATGTATTTTTAAGACCAAGTTTATCCGTTTGTTGAGATTAATGTGTTTGGTAATGTTCTTGCATTTATAAAAAGTAACTAAAATATGCTGCACTAGAACAACTTGCAGTTGGTCTACCTGGTAACTTTTAAATAGCCTAGGGCAAACACGCTTGGGAAGCTAAATGCTGGCCTGGATGCTAAATGTGCTTTGTGAGTTGTTTAAATGCACAATATCGTTGCCCGTTCTAATTTTGGCCTTCTTTCTGATAAAAGTTGCACTGATATGAAACGTTTTCGACGCTTCTCATCGCAGCTACTTTTTTGTCACGTCACATATATGTGTCATGTGCAGTAGAATATGACGACAAATAGGGTTTTATCAAATCATGTTTTGCATAAAGATTGTTTATGTTTTGATTAATAATTATGATAAAGTGATCATGTATTCTAGTTTTTGAGTAGAAATTGAGCTTACTTTGATCAGTTAACCTCATTCGGTGTAGTTATGGAATAGATTTTTTGGCAAACTAACAACTGCCAACTTAAAAGTAGCCCTTGGCTATTTTTGATAGGGATTTACAAGAACGCACGTCCTGTTTGCTAGGTCAGTCTTTCTGACTGCATTGCAATGAGTAGATGATGAAATATACCCAAATAAAAAAAATGTTTTTTTTTATTTGAAAGCGTCGACTTCCACTCTGCGATGTCAGTATTTTTAGTTTTACAACTATTATACTGGACATTGAGTTCCCTTGCCTATTTTGGAAGCTTAATATTTTTGCAGTGGATCTGACAGCTTCGTCAAGTCGCCTGCTGTGTCATTGAAGGATACGTTTAGATGGACTTTGATACTTTGCCTGAGGCTGTTTTGCTTCATCTCATGAAATTCGTCTTTAGCATTTTAAGCTTGGATAGATAAATTCGAATGAGAATAAGAATAAGTCCAGAGACTTCAACAAATTGCTGCTACACTATTCATAAAA